GATTGCGCATCGGACACACGGCCCTGACCCACAAATACCTCTTACAAGGAGATGAGAAGCCGTTCTGTGTCGGATGCAACACAGATTCTACCTTTAGACACATCTTTACTGAATGTCTAGACTTTGGAGAGATCCGAAGGAAATATATATTATAAATGCAAGAAATTGCATATCTTTTCCGTCATTGGTCCTAGCAAAATTTTGAATTTTATGAAGGCCATTGGCCTTTATGGCAAATTGTAAAGTAAAACTGTACTATTAAAATTTTTTTATGTTAACTAGAAAAATTGTTTTAGATTAAAAATATATGTATATTTACACTGATTTTTAAACATTTTAAGATTTAACTACTGACCCGAGCCAGCCGTACAGCGAACTGTTGTGAACAAAACCAACTTGTGTTTCGCGTGCTCATATGACCTTACGCAGTTGCGAGCGCCGTAAAACCCTATACTACTACTACTACTACATAAATTCTTGCAGATTTTATCATAGCCTACTATTAGCTCCATTTTATGACATCATGAATGTCATCTTTGCACCAGTCACAAACCAGATATATATGCCTATATGCCACCATTTTTTTAGATTGTGGTGGTGGGTCAGGGGGGCCAGTCTCACTGTCAGTAGGAAGAAGACAAGGGTCTTTCGTATTGAATCAGCTCACACTGCAAAAGTTATGAGGAACCACCACATTGGGCCATCTCTATCAAAGGGGAAACACTAAAGATTGCTGACATGTTCACACACCTCGACAGCACTCTCTCCATAGATTTGTAAACATCATCTTCGTGAAGTCAACTCATGCAACAAGAAAGGAAGCTCAGCATTTAGGCATACCATACACATGCAAAATAGTGTGGCAGGGGAAAGGCATTGATTTGAACAAGAAGTTGAAGGTGTGTCCTGGGCGGATATGCTCCCTACACTGTATCCCAGTGAGACACAATTAATCACAAATAAGCACCATGCCTGAAAACGACATTTCCAAAAAATAAACTTGTGTACTTATGAGAAAGGTGAGGTCAAAATCACCTGGCAGGACAAAGTTGAAAGTTCCTGAACAGAGGTCTTTACTGATTTACCAGGCATCTACATCCTGCTTAGGGTCAGGAAAGCCCATTGCGGATGGGTAAGCGGCGTTGCTCGGATGCCTGGCACACCTTCTTTCAAAAAGACTGATCTTTGGCAGACTTGGGGAGGAAAATCACTTCAGAGTTGAAGGACATTCTGTCTGGTCATGGTTCTCTTTGAACCTCGGGATGTGAGTTGGAGATCGCTGTACCATAAAATTGAAAGGTTTGAGTTTCATTTTCAATTGAGATTTTAAGTATTTTTGAACAGCTCCTTTGACTTGCCTTTTTGCCTTACCTCCTGCTTTCTTGTGTTGCAGATTGACAAACTGGTTAAGGCACTTCAGGAGCATCATGCTAAAGCAGAAAGCTTCAGTAGCCCTAAAGCTGCCCCACAGTCTTCTCAGAACAGTGACATTGTGGTTTGTACTGTCTATTGTTACTTAACATGATATGGATCAGTTCAAAATTGATTGTGTTAATATCAATCATACTACTGAATACATGTGTTCAGTGATAGTAAAATTGCAATGGCGCTCATATGACCGTATGCAGTTGCGAGCGCCGTAAAACCTCTACTTTTAAAACTAAACTAAAAAAATTGCAAAGCTAAGATGCAGCTATAGTGTAAGAAAGAAGTCCTTCATCAATAATTTAAAAGTAAAAGTCATTTGTTCTGTTTTTTTGCTTTATCAAGAGGTTTAACAATAGTAATGTCAATGTGTAGTTACTTATATCAACTACAAATATATTGTGATAAATTCTGTTTGAAATTTATAGGGAGGTTATGTTTTGAAGAAACTTGTCAAAATTTGTGTATTTGTATCTCTTATTTAATTTATTTGTTAATTCTTTATTTCTGGGGGGGGGGGGGGGGGGTTAAACCCACTATGCAGTGTACTCTCTTTCGTACAAAATCTTAAAGTGATATAAGGTCACTATATTGGTCTTAAATCAAAACAACTGAACTTATTTTGATAGTTCTTCTTCTAATGAAAGAACTCTCAGTAAAGGAGACCTGTTTTTGGCACTGGCCAAAAACTAATCTGACTTGGCAATTCTCAGCCACTGAGCCACTGGTAGTGGCTTGCCGGAGAAAAGAAGTTAATTTAGCTTCTGGTATTGACATAAAAGTCAACCAATGATTTGAAGTCTTCCAAAGGATCTAATTTGAGCCTTGAAATTTTAATGGAGGAATACCTCAGGCATAGGTTGAGCTGTGTCTTCTTTCCCATTGTATTCTCTTTATCCTTTGTTCTGATGTCTTTCTTGCAGACTCCACAAACATCACAAGCAAAGACGGCGACATCAAAAAAATCTGTTGATCGATCAGGTAAGTTTTATGAACCATCTGTATTGGAAGACTGTTGTACTCGTAATGAAAAATGTATCTGAGGCTTTCAATCTCATGTTTAACATCTTCACTGTATTGAGAACTGATTCCTTTTAGGCTCTGGAAATCTGTGTTCACAGTTACTTTGTGAGCTTTGTGTAAAGTATTTTTGTTTATCACATGTATCCAAGCCCAGTTTCCTGTTAATTTTTCATTACCTGATTAAATTGACCCCCTTTCTTTTAAATATTGCCCTTTTGTGTATCAGTATCAGATTTGATTGGTAATGTGTATAGAGTCTGTGTCAGAACCTGAGTATGTTACTAAATTTTCTATGTATGATACAGTATTGTTTTGTACGCCTCATGTTAAAACATAATTGTGAGGCAGCGTGGTGAAATCAGGCACTGGTCAAAGTAACGAAATCGGAGAAACAGGCATTTTTCCGCCAGTTTGGTAATTTTTATCGAATTTTTAATTTTTGGCTTAATAAAACTGCTATTAGATCCATATAAAAACACATTTGCGTGTGAATTTTGCTGAAAAACATTGATTAAAGGCACAAACAATGCCATTTTTCAGTTTTAAAAGACTCTTTAGCTATTGGAGTTACCAAACTTTGGCAGCCATTTTCTCGCTAATTTCCCCACTGAAATCAGGCGACATCACTTTCTTGTTTTTTTTGGTTTTGTTTTTGTAAAATGTTTTACGGCGCTCGCAACTGCATAGGTCATATGAGCGCGCGGGACACACCTAATATTTTCAGTTGGTAGGAAATTTTGAATTTTGCCCGGGTGGCGGCCGAAGCCTACTCTTATCGATTTTAGACCACCAAGGGATCTTTAACGTGCGCAACTTGCACACGGGCCCTCCGAGATTTTTCGCCTTTGTCCGAGAAGGCTAGGTGTAGATCTTTCCTACCAGAAGATCAGGGGTGTGGCAGAAAGACAGCAGTAAGGAGGAGCCAAGGTGTAGCAGTAGAAAGGCTGCAGAAAGAGTCAGGGGCCCAGAGGAGGGGGCAAAGGAGGTGAGGGGGTGGGTGCAGAAAGTGGAAATAAAGCAGACAACAGAACATTGCTAGAGAGCAGGAAAGGAGGTGAAAGGAGACAATTTTAGAGAAGAAAATTTTTTGGTCGCTACCCGGATTCGAAACGGGGACCTCTGAATGAGAGGCCAACACCTTAACCTCTAGGCCACGAGAGCCCCCTCACTTTCTTCAATCACAAATATTTTGAATTCTGTTCAAGGTAAATGGATATTTATTTCGTTAGAACCAAGACAAATAAATCAGCTTTCAAATGATATTAACTCATGCCCAAAAATTGACGAGCACTTGATTCCACCACATCGTGACACATTTATATGTTTGCTACATGATATATAATATGTTGATAATAATAATATGCTGTAGTAGCAGCTCAAGCAAAAGAGTTTTGTTTCAAGTATGATTAATATTTTTAAAAATGATGAAACATAACGATTTTGCTGCTACTTTTGACATTTTGTGCATTTGAATAAGTCGGCTGAAAACAGCAATGCAATTACTTTTTTGAAATGCGCATTTTCGTATGGAGTCTTTAAAACTAACGGTACTTAGTGTAAGTCAAAATCCATAGTATTTCAGGCATACTTGTGAATGTACTTCATCAGGTCTCACAATTTTCATCAGTGGTGATCTTTAAAAGTGTCTGAAGCTCATAACTGTTGTCATTATACTGAATTGTAAATTTTGTTAAGGTCTAGACATGCTTTGAGCAATAAAACTTGATTACTGCCGTGGCCATTGCATTAGGGGTTTCCCCCTGAAGACAAAAGAAGTAACCTTCGTACGATGAGGTAATTTCTGAAAAGATCTTTACGTCCATGAATGAAACCCAAATTTGGAGTCATCATGTTATGAGTGTCGTCAGAAGACCAATTAAAAGTGTACTTTGTAGGGGGTGAATACTATTTTTGGCCTGGACTAGTAAACAAAGCTCCTATCAGCAAATCAGCTGGCTCAGGGGTTGGCTCAGCATTTGAGCAATGGAGAAAGAGGAAGTGAAATTAATTTTGGCATCAGCATTATGAGTGTCAGATGTCTGGTGCTTTGTATCAGGAGTGACTGGAATGCAAAATGCAGCCTGATGTGGAGTTTTAAAGTAGATTCATGCCATAATTTGCTAGTAGGGGGACTCATTTTGTCAAAATCACATCTTTTGTGTGTGACAGCAAAGCACCAAACTGATTGTAGACGTGGGAATTCCAAGAAGTACAAGGAAAATATTTGTTTTAATGAAGAGAGTTACATGGCAATTTGTGCTGCAGAGAATGCTAGACATAATAAATTCAGTAATTATTTTGTTTAATGCTTTGAGCAATAAAAATAAAAATTAAAAAGAATAACTTCTTGAGACTGTATTGTCCAAAAGTATTCCTTTCTGATACTCATACCCATGGTGATGGAAAGTGTCATCAGTTATATAATATAACTGTGATGACACTTTCCATCACCATGGGTATGAGTATCAGAAAAGAATACTAAATTACTTTTATTTGATATAATTAATTCTCAAGACACGTCTGTCCTCTTAATCTTCATTTGTAAGTATTCTCTTATTTAACAACTATGATGTCTGTGTACATAAATTATGTGGTGCTTCAACAGTAAAAATTGAAAAAAACTTTTTGGATCAGGCCGTCTGGCGCTCATAATTATGATGACATGTTACATCAAATACAATCGGATGGGAATTATTTTTTTTTACAGAGGCTTGATACTGTTGTAAAAAATAGTAGAGACACCAACTTTAAACGGATGATGTTGCTCATATATTATCACTAGCAGAGATTTCCTTTTATATAGTTATGTTCATCGGAATCCCAAAGTGACCATCAAACATCCAAATTTCTCACAAAATATTAATATTGCTGCTGTAATTGTAAATGATGAAAATAACACCAATTTAATTACCTACGTATTAATGGCATTGAACCTGAAGGGAAGTAGTTCTTCTGTAACATGTTTCGGAGTGCAAGGTTGTGTCTGGCAAAGGCTATATTGATTGATATATATATATATTTATATAGCGGGCATTGCAACGTTATGTAGCACTGGTTAGGATCAACATTCCATGTATACTAAGGGACCAAAGCAGACTTAAGCAAATTTGTTTGATGTGATTAAGAATACTAAATTTTCAGTACTGTGTGTTTGTTTCAGGAACCCAGTCCACCCCGGGGTCTTCAAAGAGTGTCTCTTCAAAATGCGAGAAACAAGACAGGAAGCCTACCAGTGCTTCAGATAAACAGAAATCTGAGATAGAAAATGATAAGATGACATCAAGAAAGAGAAGACGTACCTTTGAATTGGATGAACCTACCCTGAGTCCTTGCAGCACACCTTCCTCTGAAAATGAAGGCAAGAGAAAAGAAACAAGATCTTCCACTAGCACTCCTAAAACAGCACCAATGGAGGAAGAGCCTGTTAACAAAAGGAGTAGACGGAATACTTTTGATAAAACTCCCTCTCAGGACGCCACAGAGAACAGTAAGTAGTAGAACTTCAGAAATCTCTAAGACTTTGAAATGAGAACTTGGAAAGATGTGTTTTTATTTTATTTAACATTTTCATCAGGATGTTGATAATGGAATAGCATATTGACATAAGCCTACATTTCACCCTCTCAAAATAGGCAACTTTCTCCTAGACTCAAATTGACATTTATACCACTTGCATACAACAGCAAGAAAAGTTGCCCAGTGAGTGAAACAATCGATAAGGAATTTACCTTTTTCGGGGCATCCTTTAGAAATCTTGTTTGTTTTTAATATCAAGAAACATATTTTGTGTAGGGCACAATAATTAGGTCTATAATGTACTTTTAGAAATGTGAATGAGATGTTTTGTAAGGTGTATGGTGCCATACTATACTTACTCTCTCTATTGGCCTCGGTAGTTCGAGAGATCCGTAGTTCAAGGGATATCATACAAAAATAAAGAAAAAGAAAAAAATGGGACCGCAGGCACAGTTCAATGGATGCGGGATTTCAAGTTTTCTGTTTGACATATCAGTGTTATACTGTATATAAAAAGAAGGCCATCGAGCTGTAACCCAAACAGAGTTTGAGCGGCTGGTTCCCTAATCATTTTGAAAATGTACAAACTTCTACTGACCTTAGTGTGGAGGAGTATGATAGTAACTAGTGCTCAGACTGTTGGATGAAATGTGGCCTTTATTATACTGATTTGCTGTTAACTCAAATTCAACAACTACAGTATTTTTTCTGTCACAGGAACTATGTTTATCCCTGGATCCTCAGGAAAAGTGATGTTAGAGTGTGAGAAAGAAATAAGGAAATGTAATAATAGTTTCAATGAGGGAGATCCTGAAACTACCAGTGATAAACAAATTTCAAGAAAAAGAAGACGTACATTTGAGTTAGATGAGCCTACTCTGGGCCCTTGTAGCACACCATGCACTGAAAGTGAGGGCAAACGCAAAAAACTAGCACCCCTAATGGACACTCGTAAAGCAGCGCCAGTGGAACAACCTGAAGAGAAACTGATTCGAAGAGAAACATTTGATAAAAATCCTTTTCTGGAGATCAAAGAGAAGAGTAAGTAGCTGCAGGAGATATATTAGAAGAAAAGTTATGAGAATTCAATTTGTAAATATTTAACTAAACACATTTTTCTGAAAGTGTTACCTAAAGTTTTCTCCATGGTGCAATGTTGCACTTATTCATTCCAAAGCAGTTGACATTAGCAAAACTCATTGACGGCAAACATTTTTCTAACAATGTCCTCCCTTTTCTGGCTTTCTTTACACAAAAGCGCACAGATACATATGTATACTCACTAAAAATAGACGTCTCAGCGTATATGAACTGTGTATTATTAGTGATCATCACAGTGATGTCATATGCCATTGTTTTGTTGGGTTTAAAAAAAAATACAATTGTAAAAACAATGTGGCACTGACTGAAATATCTCATCACAAATTCATATTTCAGAATAGCAATTTATCTATTTGTTTTTATTGATTACCATATTATTGCTTTGGCAGAAGTGAACATTTACTGAGTGACAGATGTAGTTTCACAAGTCAAGATGTTGCAATTGTTGATAGAATATAACCAGAAGCATATATAATATGTAAGGAAAAACAAGGGATGTCACTTCATGGCATTTTGAGAAAAATTAAAATGAAATACTTCACAGCCCAAGTCTTTTCCATAGTATCTATAGCTTATTTTCCAAGGGTGACTCATCAGGTTTTAGCCCTGGATACAAAGATGGGCCTGTAATGTGCAAATGCTTTACAACCCACATCACAATGCAAATTGTCCAAAAGCGAACATCTCTTCTTTTTTCCCTTGTGCCCTTCATATATTTAACCATATACTGTTGATATCCAGAAAAATTCACCATTGTGCAGGTTCACAGTCACTTTTCAGACTGATATAGATGTCACATTTTTGTTGATACCATAATAGATGGTTGCATTTTTTACCTTTTTTTTTCTTTTCTTCAACTACAAAAGATGTCACAACACAGAGATCAACTCGATCATCTAGCAGTCCTAGTACAAGGGCCATTATAGACTCAATGGATGCAAACATATCTAGCGCAGAGCGGAAAGCCAAACTTTTGTCTGCTCTTGATAAGAAAGTTCAAGAAAAAGGTATTGAATGGTTTGTTTAAAAAAAATTGTAATGCACATTGAGCATTTTGTTGATGAAAATGGGCAATATAAACGCAATTTGTTATATATTTATTATTACTGGACGATGCAAGCAAATATAAAGATGATTTCTTGTTTAAGTTAATTTGTCTTTTTTTCGCAACTCCTAAGACAAGGTGGGTTTTTTTTTTCTCCTAAAGTAAGGGTCAGAGATCACCGCAATACAACTGAGTTTTAATTCCAAGAGTGCAGTAAATGTGCCTGAGAGGCTATTAATACCCTCAACTATACTTATATATGCTTGCATACAGGCGCTTTACAGACAAGCCTTTTCTCTCCAACAAAAATACCATGAAACAAATCTTTTCAAAAGAACACTGAGCCACAGCTTATGGAAGGTACCAGACTGTCATGTTATAAAAACATTTTTCAGAGAGCATAAGTAGCAAAATTCATTTGTTAATTTCCTGGAGAAATCACATGATTTTCTTGACGGATTGATTAATTAATTAATTAATTAATTTATCTCTTCTTTATTTAATCATTTTGATAGTCAGCTGTCTTCCTTTTTTTCTTTTGCAGTGTCTGTGAAACTGTATTTCTCTTTTCAGTGAATTCCAGTCCCTCTGAAGCTGTTGGACAGCAGCACAGTCAGATCCCTAGATTTATGGCTTTCCTGACCAACAAGAAGAAGGCGGAAGCACAAAAACCACCTACACCAGGTACAGTTTTCACTGAATCAGAAGAGTTACCTTTGAGGAATGCACAAATTACTTTTTCGTGTAATAATTTTCACAATCATTCAATTAGTACTGTATTGTCTTCTGCTTTCTCCTTCTAAAATGCTTTGTGATATTTGATATAAATTTTAACAATTGTGCCCATCCTTGTGTTTTGTATACAGTGACAGAACCGTTTCTGTTCAAAACTTCATTGCATACTGGCAGCTCATATTGCCCTTGTATGCTTTACCAGGAATGTTGAGAAGTAAGTAAACATTTGTGAATGTCACTGAAGATACGAAAGCTGATGACTTGAGAATATTGAATTTTGAAAAATATCCTTTGTTTGTAGGGATGTTTTAGATTGTTTCTCTGTATATCATACTTTTACAGTTGCTTTATGTTCTTTCTTTATCTGCAAGGCAACAAAGACTGGACCAAGATCCATAACAAAGCATTTGCTAAATTTGATTCGATTGATGTTTACTTGGAAAAGAAGCAACAGCGAGTCCAGCAGTTATCAAACAGTGCAAAAAAGACAGCCGTTTCGAAGACTCCTCAAAAAACAGTGAGTAAAAAATTTGTATAAAAAAGAATTGTTTGCTTAAATCTGAGCTTCTTGTATTTTATAGTAATACGGTTTAAAGAATGAAAACCTGGAATTTGTTAGTCTTGAGGGAAAGTGCATGTCTTGTCTGCCAAACTGCCTTGTAGAGGAATTTATATTTTTTGTCTATATTTTCACCTGCCTGCCTCTTCTATAGTTTAGAATGCATTATTTAGTTTCGTTGTGAAATTAATGTAAAACAGGGGGTCCAGTTTACTCATTGCACATTCTTATGACTCTTGTACAAGTGAAATTTGAAGGAGGGGAGACTGCCTACATCAATCGCTACCCACAATTGAAGAAACTCTGGCTTGTATGATTTACAAAAATACATTTAGAAACGATGTATGACTGCCTGAATGGTAAAGAACAATACATTTGAAGTGATTAGTTGTGTAAAACAGACATCCCACTCACCCAGATTTAGTCAGGATATCCTGATTTTTTTCCCAAAATCTCAAGCATCCCGATTTTCCCAATTTCGACCACGTGTGTCCCAATATTTTTGTCCCATCTGTCTCGATTTTTTCCCCCCTGAGGTCCTGAATTTTAAAAATAATGCTGTGGATTGAAGAATACCTAATGTTGACAACTGCCGAGATCTCACATGGGAAGGCTGAAGAATGTTGACTCATGTTTATCAAGTTTGGTTGTTAAGCTTTGAACCATTGTCTTTTTAAACTCTATAAATTGACAACCTGACTAAACCGAAGAAAATAGGGGGGGGGGGGGGGCGCGACATATTAAGTGGACCCTACCACAGTATGTAGTTTCAGAAAATCTTTAAATGAGGTTCTACCTTTCTAGGATGCGGTTTTATTTGAAAGCCTGTATATAAAATGTCCCTTTTGTTTTTCTTCAGTTTTCTCAGGCTAAAGTTGCAAAACCAGTGTCTAGGCCAGCAGCACAAGTTAAGCCGTTCGTTCCCACGGTGACTTCTACCAAGGGTATCAACTTTAACTTCAACAAAACTCCAACCTCTGGTGCTGGAAAAACGCCTTCCACTTTGAAATCTGCTAGAAAATCGTTTACAAACGGGGGACCTGCAAAGACGCCTAAGCTCTTGAATGTGACATCTGCACAGAAGCCGTCAGACTCGGCTAAGAAAGGTATGGAGCTTACAGCATTTCTTTCAGGAAAGATTATGAGAATGGGGGGGAGGGGGGTTGTCTTTTGTTTTTTTGACATGAGGCTTGTGTGAAATATTTTGTTGGCCAGTTGTTCAAATGTCCTAAGCCCAAAATTTTGAAATTCTCTTTAATTGCAGTTTCTTAATCTGTGGTGTGGGTTGTGTTCTCTCAAGAAACATGTCGAAGTTCAAATTCTAAAAAGTTAAAAAAGTAAAAGAAAAGATACACAATGTAGGTGCAAATGTTAATAGATTAAAGCAGTTTTTTCTCTCTATCCTGAAAAATTTTACTTTCTCAGCATTTAGACAGTTAACGAACAATTTTGGCATTTGGGCGGTTGCTTAAAGAGGCAACAAATCATCATGTCTCAAGCATCCGGATGGCTATTTTTAATCACCATTGTATTGATGGGGTGAAATACTCTATATGAAATGAATATTTTAAAAAATATAGTCTGTACACCACCACTATGATAGTGATGCAGGTGGTTGGAGGGCTCCACTGATAGATCCTACTTCTTTTATTTCTCTTTGCTGTTTCTGTCCAACTTTCGTGCTTTTTCCCTGCACCAAATGTCTATTATTGTGTTGATGTGCAACTCATGATTCACACAATGTGAGCATTTTCATTTCAGGGTGGCATATCCAATTAATCCAGCTGAAACAAAATTATATCCTATCTCAATTTAGGGGGTTGTCTCTTAGTTTTATTAAATTTTTTTTTTTGGGAGTGCTGGATGAGTATTTTGCTGTCTTTTAAATCTTAATTTAGTAAAAGATTTGGGAAAAATGTCTCCATTTTCCCATATTTTGCTTCAAAATGATAATGCTTTCTTATTTTCTCATTGAAGCAACACCTTTCAAGTTTACTGGATTGACTGGCAAAGCGAGTTCCTTGAACACCACACAGCACTCGCAGAAGAAAACTTTTGACCTGAAGGCCAGTCTAGCGAAACCACTCACTTGGAAGCCACACACTGGCAAGCTGCAAACTGTGGACTTTAATAAGCCTGCCTTTGTTTCTGCCACCAAGTCTTCTGTACAAAAAGCTGTCATTCGACCTTCACGGCAAGCCATGGCAAGCAAGACCAGGCCTACTCATGCAAAGTGAGTGAAATATTTATTTTGTGTTCTCCAATTCCATAACAGTATATTTTGCTGTGGATTGCCTCTCTAATGACAATGGCATTATATTTTGTTTTCTAATTTCTTAAGAGAATTTCTTGAATTTATTCTTAACTCATTCGCTACGCCGAGCCGTGGGGGGCGGCGCGGCTAAAGTGCCGTCAGTACGCTAAGCCGCCCCCGGCGGCTCGAAAACCGACGTTCAATTTTAGCTTGGTTTCTATTCCAATCCACATATCCATGTTAAAATAAAGGTCATAATATAAAGTTGACTTCCGGGTCAAGCGTTTCCACCGAAAATCGGAAGTTTTGATTCAGTTTTGAAACACGATTTCGAAGTTTATGCGACATTGTTTTATCGCGAAGCCCAAATTATAGCCCAGACACCAGTTTTAGTACTTTTACACAACAAAATGTATCATTATTTTGCTCACTAAAGAAGTGTAGGACTCTTCTTTATAATATTGATACTACTGGACTCAAATTGCCAGTGCACTGTAATTGAGAAATCAATATTTTTGAGTGCTAGATCTAGGCCTAGATCTAAATAGTCAAAATATTTTTTTTCTCCCCAAAATCACTACTTTTTGGTGAATTTACTCAAAAAGTACCACCCAAGATATGTATAGGTTTATTCCAAATGGAATTCTGAATAATTCCATATAAGATACGAGTGTTTTTTTCTGTTTGGGATCCTTTTTTCAAAATTATTTAAAAAATTTTTTTTTTTTCAATATCGGAGGTTATGATCCAAATGTACAAATATTATGGAATGTAAGTAAATAACTGCTTATTTTTCAATATTTTCCTGTTCTATATACAGTTATGGTTATTTTGATGTATAATTTGAGTAGGTGCAAACATATTTTTTGAGTTTCATCTGAGATTATAAATTTTTTGTTTTCAAATTTTATGCGCAGCCAATCACAATTGTGTTGCATAATCGCCTCTTACAGGAACCAAAGTTGAAAAATACTCAAATAAACAATACAGATGTATTCTACAAACCATACTGAAAATGTTGGTGTATAATATGTTGATATTCATTTGAATTTATGGCCCCCAAGACCTGTGAACTGGGCACTAGTCATCATCTCATTTCGCCCTCCCGAAAAAAATTCTTCCACAAGCCGAAAATAATATGTAGCGAATAAGTTAATGTGAAAAAACTAGAAGTTTGTAAAATAGAATGGAACTGCTGCCGTTTCTGCAGAAACTGTTAGTATTTATATAGAGTTGATTCTCTTATTAAATGAATATATACTCTCCTTTTGAAACAATAATCATCTTGTCATCATAGTTCTGGTGCTTTAAGTATTATGCTATGTTTTAAAAAAGCAGATATTTTTTTCTCAGACCAATGACAATTCTGATCTGACCCCTAAGTTTTTCTTTATCAAATTTATGAGATCAAGACTATAACATGTGCATCTTTGCTTTCATAGCTTTGGTACTCTGAGGCTATAAAAGCCTGTAATTCAGTGTTTCAGGTATGTATATTACACCCAATTTTCCCTGGCATAAGGATGCTTTCAATTATGGTATGACTAGAGCACATGCTGACGTCCATTTGTTACACTAGCTTGGTCTGGTGTGAGTAATTCTTCTGGTTTAATTTTCTTGTCCGTACCTACAGACCTCTCTTAATGAGCTGAGGACCTCACTTAATGAGCAGTGCTGTTTGCTTTATCTGCAAGGGCTATGAAGCTGACAGAAAGATTTTGCTATGAATGCCATGACTTCCAATTGTCGTTATAGAGTCCCATGGAGTATTTTCTTTATGTCTAGAAGTGGAGGGAAAAGGGTGGCTCTGGCTGTGGTGTTGTTTAGAGATAATTGCTTTGCTGTTAGAAGCCGTTTGTGAGGAATTGTTGTGCTGTTCTTGTTCCTTTTTTAATTATTCATTTCTGTGACATGGTGCAATGCTGAGCTTTGCTGTTATCTGGTTTTGGGACTTCCACACAAATACTAGTTCAAGGTACAAACATTGTTGATTCGTAGCTTCACTTTCTGTGGCACAGTTCTGGAGATGGTTTATCTTTGCTTATTCTTAGGAATTCTCTTTGCAGAAAATGGTCTGTGCACATCTCATTCTGCTTTTTAATAAGCACAGATCATTGCCCTGGATTTTCACATTCAAATCTTGCTGTGTGTAATAGGCTTCCTTGCTGTACTTCAGTTCAGGGTACCTTGACATACCTTTTCCTTAAGTGCCTGATCCCCCTTGAACTGCTTGATACATTTTGTTTTCAGCAGTTTTTGTCATTTTTCCTTAGCTTGGTCTTTAGATTTTCAGTGAGGTTTTTCTATTTTGGTTCTCCCAAAGTATTTATAAAAATTTTCCTAGGGAAAGCAGTTGTAGATTTGCCTTCATTCAACAACTTGTTTGATTCACAGACAATCGTCATATTTTAATTGTAGAAGCGATTTTAAAGAGTTTCTAGTCATACAGTTGTGGTACTTATGTGACTTACGCTGAATATGTGTATATTTATGGGCTTTCCAAATTAATTGCAGATTTGCCAATCTGTATAGTCCTGACAATTGGCTATCACTATCTTAAATGATGACTGAAAATCAATTAAATTTTTTATTATAATGTCTTTTTATTCTTTTTGAAAGTTGATGTAAATTTTGTCATTTAAAAAAATGAGTCAGTACAGTTTTGGAACCACCAGATCTATGATTAAGAAGGTATAATTCAAAGAGTGAATTCAATTTCCAACTTCTGGTACACCATTCAACACATTTTGATAAACATATTTGGGAGCGCCCGACTAAAAACCATTACCCCCCCGATGTGCAACGGCATTCCCAAAAATCAAGAACTGTTAAGAATAAATGTTTTGGCGGGTGCTCTGGTGTGGTCTGCTTCTTCTTTCCTATCAAACATCTATCGTCCGTATCTCCCCTTCTTCTTTTTTATGTTTGTTACTCTCTTGTAACACCTCTAATCTTCTGGCGCTCAGATGACCTTATGCAGTTGCGAGCGCCGTAAAACCTCTACTAAAACAAAAAACAAAACAAACAAAATGTTTATGTCTCTGTCTTATGTTTTTCCCCAGGGATGTCCACAGAGCCAAGCAGCTGGACAGGAGAAATAATCAGAAATATATCGACATGATGAAACGCAGAGGACTTATTGCATAAATTCACTGACATGTTTTAGATTTTTAGGGACATGTGTTGAAAATAGAGTAGAATGAATTATGTTGATACATTTTGTTTTGGAATGATCTCAGTGGAAAGGCCATAAAACAGTTCAATGCAGATTCTGTCATTTTTATTATAACAGTAGATAGATTCATGTTTAGGGGGATTGGCTTGCAAAAAAGGTTTAATATATTGATCTAGTGTAAGTAGAGCACTCTGTAACATTTCAAAATTCCTAGTCGTCAATAGCAAGATACTTGTAATGTGTGCATAACTAAATGTTCTGCAAATAAAATTGTGAGGCAAGTTTTTCACTATTTGTGTAACCACCCTGTGAAATCAGGTACTGGTCAATTTTTGGGCATGTGAAATTATTTTTGTATAATTTTAAAGCTTGATTATTTGCCTTGCTTTTGCTGAAAAAAACAAAACAAACAAACCCAAAACAACTTGTCTATCTTGAAGAAAGTGGGGCTCAACTGTTGTCAGAGGTAAAATTTACGAAAAAAGTTCAATGACATCCTAAACAGGCGTGTCTTTGGAAAAGGAAAATTTACATTTTTTTGGTGCTTTTAATCGTTTTTCGGCAATTCCATGCAGGAATGTGTTTTAAAATACGTGAAAGGTGTTGAGCCCAAAACAAAAAATTTGTTTTCAAAAAATATAATTGTGGGCCTTTTCTTGTTAGACAATAAATAACGCAATCGAAGACTTTGAGCTCTGAGTGTTAAATCTGGTTACTTATAAAAAATCACTGGTTAAGTTAAGGTTGACTGACCAAAACACGAAAACTTATCAGTAACAATTTTTCTGTTCTGTTCCATTAATGCCTGAAAAAAACTCACTGCTTGGTGCACTTATTGGTGGTACCATGCTGGACTGATGTAGACGGCCCTGGTTCGAATCTCCAATTGGGTGTTCTTAAACTCGTGTTGTTTGGGGTGTATTCTAGGCTCTGTACTCACTTTGTGGATTCCTCTCAGAGTTCCGCTTTTTTAATAACTTTAAATGTATAGAACGGGGCATAGCTAATCCAGTACATTTAACAACTGCCCACTGCCGTAAGTCTCTCTGCAATGGAGTGGGCTCTAAGAGACTCATAGACCTTGGTGACTCTGAAACACTTATGTTAGCTGACTGGGGGGAACCAGCTCCATGTTTGTGGTGCTTGCAGTCTACACCACTATGTGCGTGAAATTCTGAACTTAATTTCTCATGTGATTATTTTTTTATTGGCTCATGGTACACACCATATATATTAAATTGTGACCCAGAAAAGCAAACACTTTCGATATAAGACTGTCTGAATATGTTGTTAAAGTGGCTTCTAGTAGTGAAGGAAATCCTTTTGAATAATTATCCACAGATCATTCAGAATTGGGAGGGAATTACATATATAAGTGCACTCTAGATATTAGGACATCCTCTCAGTCGTCTCTGAAAATACATGTAGACTGAATTATTGAGCTTTACCCAAAAAATACAATCCCATATGTATTTGTAAGTTTTCGAAGTTTGGTGTCAAAATGTCCCAGACTTTTTAAAAAAGTGAGATCTTCTGGCTCTTTGGATAAGCTTACTACTGAATTGTTTTGAACTACACTTAGAAATTAACCTTTTCTTTAACAGTGATAAGTTTTAGTACAAGTGCCACTGTGATGGTGTGTCAGGTAACTTTTAAGTGACGGCATTTTCAATGAGTTTAAGGGGAAATGATATGATAAATATTTTTGCTCCTTACTTGCAGCTGCGAAGTTACCAAGTTAATGAATTTAAGTAAGGGCCGCCAAATGTATTGCAACAACACTATTATCAGTGTCTGCAGATTACATGCACAGGCAACTATGAGTAAGTTTGATGTCACCATGGATGCAAAATAGTCAATTCATCTGTTGGTTTTATTTTGTCATTGTCTAACCATTGCGATTTTTTTGATCAGATGTAGTCATGTATACATATATTTTTTGACACTGAGCCTAGACTAGCAGTACTGAAATCAAGTTAACGGAAAGAAGCTTAGAAAAGTACATACATTTACACATGTGTATGTGTACTTTGGGGTGAGGTTATGGGCTCTCATTTAGTTGTGGTATTGGTGGCTAATGTGTGAAGTAGTCAGTCAAAGATTTGTCGTTGATATTGGCATCCTCAGTTTCTGAAGATTATCTCCCAAACTTATAATCACAATGCCAAATGCTTCACTTTTACTTTTAAAAGGACCTCAAACTGATCAAAGGACAAGTCATTCCTGCATTGTTTTTTGTTGTGTTTTCCCCTGCAATATTCCATACTTCCTTCACGCTCTTTGCTTTTCTAAAAAGAACTGGTTGTTGGTTTTATTTTATTTGTTCGCCGGCCTCTTTGAGACACTATAAATAGCCTAAAGACAAGATTTAGCCTCATTCTCATGAGATTTTTAACAGTTTTAGTTACCTTATTCATCTGTCATGCATTTTTGCGTGTGATATTGTCGAATGTTGTTAGTTTGTTTCATTATTTTGTTTTAAGAAATGGTGTTAGTAAGCTATTTGTGTGGCTTGTGTTGGAAGTTTATAGTCTTATTAAACATAATATGTATCATACCAACACTACAGGCTGTAATACTTTTTACCATTACCCTTTGCATTAATCTTTCTCATTGCATACTTACTGTTCTTTTCAATACTTTTGAAATACCAGTTACTTACTGTAGGGAGATAATTCGCAGCATGAGGTGAAGTGTTTGTTAATGTATTGTTACACCTGTGGATGTGCTGCCTGTTTTTCTTTGTCCGTGCGTCCCTCTGTCTTTCTCTCTCCCTCTGTGTCTCTCTTTCTCTCTCTAGCTCCATCTTTGTCTTCAGCTTCTGTTCTAACTTATTGTTTTCTGTGTTTGCACTTTTAATTCAACCATAATGACCAGCAAGGGATTGGTTGGTACAGTTGTGTAGTGTAGTCTGCTATTTATGCTTATTTTCAATGTCTTCATTACTGTCTAAATCTATTTCTGGGGATGGGTTTTTGCTTTTAATCATGAAGACTCGCTGTAAAGTACTACATGTACTCAGCAGCAAAGCCATCACTGTATTTATGTCTTTATGGAAGTGTACACTTATGGTCTGTAAAATAAACCTGTAAATAGTATCGATATAATACAAAGTAATACAGTCCATTCCGGCTATAAGCACGGTCGTCGGGAGAAAGCTTAAGCGTGATTAAAGCCAAAGCGTGCTTGAGTGCGAAGTAGACATAATCCAGAGATTTTCATCCAGAAAATTATGCCCCGTGCTATTTCCCTTTGTTTGTAAGTAGTCTATAGCAGTCCCGCAAAAGTGTGCACTGTTATTTAGACACCCGCCACAGTAGTTTTTGTTGGCTTGTAGACAGCCAGTCACGATACAGCACACTAGGCCTACACACTGCCTGTGCGTACCACTGCCCGCTGTGCCACTCATACCACCGCCTTCATCCCACCTCGCGCGTGATACACAATCAGGATTAATGGATAGCGAGGGTCAAAGGTGAAATCGCAGCCAGCCTCCCTTTCTCGTCTCCCCGACTCTTTTTGTATTTTTTTTGGTCGTGAGTAACTTTGCCCTAGGCTAGATCCTATGTCCGCGCGCGCGGCTGTGTGCATCTGTCTTCCTCTCCGCCCGTGTGAGTGTGTGTGTCCATCACTTGCGTTCTTTGTGTTTCTCTTGACACACTCCACTGCTTCTGTGTAGACTGTGTTCGAACTTCGATGGGTCATCATGAAAATATTGACTGTCTTGTAAATGAAGCGTGCTTGAAGCCGAAGTTACCGTGCTTAAAGGCGTGTAATTTATATAGCAAAAATTCGGTAAGAGCCGTTTAGCGTGCTTGAGTCCGAAACGTGCTTTAAGCCGGCGTGCTTAAAGCCGGCACGGACTGTATTATAAACCCTCCTCTTTCAAGGCAGCCATCACTTTTACTGTGCTTGTTTGCACAATGGAAATAGGACGTGCATTACATGTAGATTAAGTGTCATACTTGGCACTTTGAAATATTGGCCCAACCCTAGGCAGAGAGACCCAAAACTCTATGAGAGCCTGGAGGACCTGTGGTGAACAGCAGCTTTTGCACTAGAGACTGGGTTTTTCAAATTTAAATCAAGATTTTTTAAATTTAAATCGGATTTTTTTTATTTAAAAAAAAAATGTCGACATAGTTTGGGATTTTTGGTGGCTAAAAGTAAGTTCTTTTAGTTCAAAATGCATTGTCTTTATTTTAACTAATGATTAATTTAAGCAACTGCAATTTTAGAAAGCCTTAATCTGCTAGATCTATATCACTGAATTATGGCTACAGACAAAAAATGAAGAAAATGTCAGTCTAAAAGGAAGGGGAGGGGGGGGGGGGGGGTGAGTATACGTAGATAAACTTGCATTTTTATTACAGTGTGTGTGCGCGCGCTTGTGTTTGTCTAAAAAGAAAAAGAAAATGCTTATTTCAATTATGAAAAAAGAGTAAATTGAATACTGTATTATTTTACTACTTACAGTGACAGGGGGGAAAGCAAACTTTTAAGCTTGATTATTTTAGTCTACTAAACCTTATATATCTGTTTTATAAAACCAAGGAAAGGAATTCTGAATGTTTAAAGATGTAAAAATAGAATACTTTTTTAAAAAGTGATTTAAATCACTGAGATTTATTTTTTTAATCAAGTTGATTTAAATTTTAAAAAATCAACTGATTTAAATCGACCAAATTTAAATCAACCCAACCATGGTTTTCAATTATGAAAAAAAGGTAAATTGAGAACTGTATTATTTTACAGTGACAGGGGGGAAAGCAGACTTTTACTTTTAAGCATGATTATATTAGTCTACTAAACCTTATATTGTTTAATAAAACCAAGGAAAGGAATTCTGAATGTTTAAATATATGTGAAGCGTGCAGACAAAATGAGTTACTTCTCGGATTCAAGCCCTATAAAAATAGATACTTCATGCTTATTGATGAAGTTTTTACAATTCATAAGCATGAAATAATATAAGGCATGTTATACGTAAAGAATATTACATCAATGGAAAATCTACAAATTTGACCCTAGAGTCGATTTTTTGCCAATATCTCTATTTGTGGATTGTGAGAAGTAACTCATTTTGTCAGCACGTCTCACATATGTAAAAACTGAATACATTTTTTTGAAAAGTGATTTAAATCACTGATTTTTATTTAAAATATCAAGTTGATTAAAATATAAAAAATCAACTGATTTAAATCAACCCAGCTCTGATTTCAATTATGGGGAAAAAAAAGTAATTTGAATCTGTATTATTTTACAGTGGGGGAAAGCAGACTTTTAAGCATGAATATATTAGTCTACTAAACCTTATATCTGTTTTATGAAACCAAGGAAAGGAATTCTGAATGTTGAAATGTGTAAAAACTGAATAAAAATAAATATTTAAAAAAGTGATTTAAGTCACTGATTTAAAAAAAAAAATATCAAGTTGATTTAAATTTTAAAAATCAACTGATTTAAATCAGCTTGATTTAAATCAACCCAACCCTGGGTTGTCCATTTAAAGATGGACGAGAAGAAGAGTCATACTTAATCAAACGTTGCATTCACCTGTTTATGAACATTAGTTGGGGTCTGAGTATATCTTACTAAATTTCATAAAGTTATTATATGCACCTATGTTGGTCATTTATTATTGTTTTACTGTTTTCATGTTTTGAACGCTCTCTTTTAAATCCTACGGTCATTTGGGGTGTAGGAGTTAGGTGCTTTGCTGTTGCACACAGGAGACCTAAGTTCAATTCCTGAGTTGACAGGAAATTTTTATGGAGTATTTCAGTCTATCTGCTGAGATGTTTTGTCCTTCTCAACCCGGGTTGGCCCTGACAGGCAGGGACGGAAGCCGACCTCCTAAATGATAAAAAATTTATTTTTTAAAATGTTTAATCCTTAAACAAATAATGACATTTGGAATTTTTAAAAATCACTAATTTTGACCTTGCACAGGTGACAAGTTTTATATTAGTCACAATGTTTTATTCTGTGTTTTACAAAGATTACATTCAGTTTCAGCCTGTTGTCTAAGACTCACATTTTCATATCCCAAGTGGAACTTAAATAAGTTGATTTTTGTATTTTCTGCACTTCGTTTTGGGGGGCTTTGGTGTGGTTTGCTCATTCTTTCCTATCAGACATGCCATCTATCGTCCTTATCTCCTACTTTTGTTTATATGTTACACTGTAACACCTCTGATCTTTGACACAACTTTTTTTTTTTTTAATGACATGATTTTGTGTTTCAAGTGCCGTAAAACTCTTGAATAAACTGAGAAAACTGAAACAGTCTTGCTGTTAACTGCCTTGTCTTTTGTCTGTCTTTTTTCCCCCTTTTTCCTTCTTTCTTTCTATGTTTATCAAAGATGGGCTGCACCCATTTCCTATTGTACAGATGCATCACTACATGAACTGATCTGAGAAGCAGCTCGTAATAAAAACCCTCCGTACAGTCAAAGTATTCGTTAGCGTTGTTAATTTTTGTTGCTTCGTGAGTTAATTGATGGTGTGAAATTGAATTATTATATGTGTAGGCTACCATAATTCATAATGTGGCCTAAATGACTAAATATTATTTTTCCCTCCCTCTCACTCTTGTGCTTTACACATATTTGAGAGTGAGTGTGGGTGGTTGGTGGGTGCTCGAGAGTGAGTGACCTCTCTCGATATGCATCCATCTTGATTGTAGTCTTGATTCTTTATTTTTGTTTCTATCACACCAAGTCTGTTCCCAGCGAAAAGGGCACTCCCGTTGGCTAAGTTTGTATCATGGTGGACTACAGAGCAAATAGACCTGGTTCAAATCCCAGTCCCAGACTCAGACTGGGCATTTTTTACCTCTGGTTGTTTTGTTGAGTTTTCAAGGCTCTCATTTTCAGCCCAATTGACTTGGTCCAGTTGGAGACGGGCAATAAATTCGAAGGCCCCACTTCTCATATAACCTGAGGGCTCTCGTGGCCTAGAGATTAAGGTGTTCGCCTTTCATTCAAAGGTTCTGAGTTTGAATCCGGGTAGCGACAGGAAATTTTTTTTCTCTAAAATTGTCTCCTTTCACCTCCTTTCCTGCTCTCTAACAATGTTCTGTCGTCTGCTTTCGTCTCCACTTTCTGCCCCTACCCCCTCACCTCCTTTGCCCCCTCCTCTGGGCTCCTGACTCTTTCTGCTGTTTCTACTGCTACTCCTTGGCTCGTTCTTATAGCTGTCTTTCAGCCACACCCCTCATCTTCTGGTAGGAAAGATCTGCACCTAGCCTTCTCAGACAAGGGCGGAAAATCTCGGAGGTCCAGTGTGTCAGTCGCAAGTTGCGCTCCTTAAAGATCCATTGGTGGTCTAAAATCGATAAGAGTAGGCTTCGGCCGCCACCCGGGCAAAATTCAAAATTTCCTACCAACTGAAAATGTTTAATGTGCCCCGCGGGCTCATATGACCTTATGCAATTGCGAGAGGCGTAAAACATTTACGATCGTATAACCTAAGATGATAGTGTTGATCATTGATAGAGGGGCGCTGAAGGATCATAGTATACCCTAATTTCTAACTTTACTATTCTGAGAAAAAATGAGAAAGTTGTGCTATCATCAGAGATTTTTACGTTATATCAGGAAGGACGTTGGTACTGGTACCAGTGTCTGTGGTGTAGCAGTTAGACACTTGGCTGTTGTACGCAGGAGACCCTAGTTCGATTCCCGAGTGGAGTAAAATTTACTCTTTCTTTTTGCTGAGGTGTAGTGCTATATCAAGATATGTCAATGAAATCCCATGTATCCAATCTTTGTAAAAATCTATATCTCCAATTGAAGAAAATAGGGAGCATTAGAAAATATCTATTTGTGTTGATGTTACCAAAACTTTAATACTGTAACATCACTTATATTGTCAAGGCTTGATTACTGCAATTCCTTACTTGCTGTGTACCCGATGAACAGTTACAACAACTACAAAGAGTACAAAATATTGCTGCCAAAATAATTATGAAGAAACTAAAGCATGATCCAGTGACTCCTATTTCTAAAGGACTACACTGGCTCCCGGTGAAAGAGCGTGTCATATATATAAAATCTTTTTAACTTGCTACAAGTGCTTACATAACCTGACTACCTAAAACACACAGTTTTTAACACCCAATGCACCACATAGAACGCTCAGATCATCAAGTGATAAAACAACACTTGTTAAACCTAAAATGAATTACAAATCATATGGCCAACGCTCTTTTTCATATTTTCCCCCACTTGTTTGGAATAGGCTTCCAAAAACTATCAGAGAAGCAGAAAATCTAGAAATTTTAAAGAAAAAACTAAAAACATCTATTTTCATCAAATTTCGGTTAGACAGAATCCACCCAAGCTGTAGATCGTCGTGAGTATGTGTGTGTGGGTGCGTGAGTATGTGTGTGTACGCGTATGTAATATGTATGTGTCAGTAAAATTGATTGGCAATTTCATATGTTTCATGTTAAGCGCATAGAGCATTGCAAAAGTGGATATGCGTTATAGAAATGATATCCATTATTATTATTATGTTGAATGTCGTATCCCTCTCAGCCCAGGTTGGCCCTGACTGGCAATGTCGAAATTCCGCCTCCTAAAAAATGATCTAAACTGTGTCGATGAGGGCATACAAACAATGTTTAAAAATCAATATAATATTATATATAGAAATATTAGAAAGAGCGTGCGTCGAAACCATGAGCTCCGTCGCGTCAGCTGTGTCGATCCGTTCCGTCTCCAAGTAGAAGCTTGTTTGGGACAACAACAGCCATTATTTGCTCATGTTAACTTAATTATTTCATTCTGAAGCAGTGTATTATATCATGGTCACCGTATTGCAAAATTCATCTCACCGCTCATACTTTGGTCTATTAATAAATTCCATTCAATTGATGTTTCCTTTGAGTTGTTTTTTTTTTTTTGGGGGGGGGGGGGGGGGGGGCGTAATACATGTATTTATTTTCAACAAAGAAAAGAAAAAAGAAAACCCCTGAACATTTGAATAAATCCACCCAACAGGGCTGGGGACAATGGATAAGCTCAGCAGTTATTAGTTTTTTTTTAAAGATTGGGAGGCGAACTCGATTCGATCAATGCTGAATTATGAATAAAGTATGAATAGTACATGTATACTAATACTAAGAGTATTTCATTTAGCTGGCTCTCGCACTTTAAACATTCTGGACCAAATACACATTTAGTATTTAATACAGAAAGAATTCACACTTCTTTATCATATGAAAAATTTGTGCGTGAAGGGGATCGTTTTTATCTCCCAGTCAAATAGATCAATTCACACCTATTTTCACATGCCGCATTGTTACTTCAAAAGCAGTACCGTATTGGAAAATGAAGTCACACACACACGCGCGCGCACACACAATACTCACTGAAAGCAAGAAAGAGGATGGGGAGGTGTCTTTACTAATCTTACACATATTATACTCACATACACATATTAGAGAAGATAGTTTGAGATGGAGAGGATGAATAACTGAGAAAAGAAAGGGGGGGGGGGGGCGAAAAATAAAATCTATCGTTAAATTGGCATCAAGGCAGTTGCCCTTATACCATCAGCCTAATATGGATTCATGCCCAGCTTTCGCAAATTAGTTTTGTTGTTGTTGTTGCGAAAGCAAAGGTAACCGATGGCTCTCTGATATTGATAATAGTATTCGTGCAAATAATAGCAATAATAACAATAATATATAATCCACGCATATTAACGCTCTGCAGCGTGCTCTATGCGTTTTATAATTCTTATTACTACTATTATTACTCTAGCAGCAGACCCATGACCACTCAGAAACATTCTTTTTAAAAAAATGTTTTACGGCGCTCGCAACTGCAGAAGGTCATATGAGCGCACGGGACACATTAAATATTTTCAGTTTGGTACATAGATGTAGGAAGTACTATGACCCTATGACATAGAGTATACACTTCCTACATCTATGGTTTGGTAGGAAATTTTGAATTTTGCCTGCGTGGCGGCCGAAGCCTACTCTTATCGATTTTAGACCACCAAGGGATCTGTAACGAGTACAACTTGCACACGGGACTTCCGATATTTTTCGCCCTTGTCCGAGAAGGCCAGGTGTTTCTACCAGAAGACCAGGGGTGTGGCAGAAAGACAGCAGTAAGAAGGAGCCAATGAGAAACAGTAGAAAGGCTGCAGAAAGAGTCAGGAGCCCAGAGGATGGGGTGGGGGCAGAAAGCGGAGACGAAAGCAGACGACAGAACATTGTTAGAGAGCAGGAAAGGAGGTGAAAGGAGACAATTTTAGAGAAGAAAATTATCCGTCGCTACCCGGATTCGAACCCGGGACTTTTGAATGTGAGGCAAACACCTTAACCTCTAGCCTACGAGAGCCCCCACACATTCTCATCTTTCCATGAATCATACTATTAAATTCAATTCATACAGTGCAAGTTGCGGATTGCATGCACTCAAACTCTGACAAACTCATGAAACTGGCGAGATCGTTCGCAATCCATAGGGGAGGGGTTTTCATTCTCACCTGGGTGAAATGAGGAAAATAAGTGTAAAGTAAAGTGACTTTCCCAAGGACACAATGTCTGGCCTCTGATGGGATTCGAACCCACGACCTCACGATTGATAGTTCGAGAGCTATGTAAACAACGATGCTAGAAAATACATGTACATAATATAGCCTATACATGTATGTGTTGGCCTGTATCAGTGTCAGTTCGTCGAAAACATTTTTTCTTCACATATCAAGATCAGAATTTAAAATAAAAAAACCGTCTGTTGGCCAGCATGTGGCGGGACGCACAAGAAGAAAAAAAAAACTCTAAAAAGCGCGCACCATTTTGAACCATTACTAAATTTGAATGAGAACAAACAAATCCAATAGGCCTAAGCTTAGGAGTATTTAGGAGGGTGGGTACTGAGAGACATAAAAACTACTGTACATCAATACAGCCGTGTGATAGGTTGTTACTATGCTATGAGTGAGAGAACTCCCATGTTCTCACCGCAAGATGAGCCGTCACCTCGAAATTATGTCTCAGCGGGATCAGTTTCAGCGACTGCGACTACGCCTGCCACTGGAAGGTTTATGCGGTAAAAGGAAGAAAATCTTCTAATTCCGAACGAAGGCAAGCATACTAGCCTGGTCACCTCCGTAATCCCACCAATGGAACTGAGACACGCTGCCCTATCATGTCTTCTACAACATCCGAGCTGGACAGAACCGACCATCCTATCGTGTTCACTTTGATGAATATCACATTGTGGACGGCTATCTTTCTGTTCGTTGCCCTGCCCTTTGGGGTCACTTGTTCCCTACTGCTTGTTTTCGTGCGCACGTTGTGTGTGATTTATCCTTCAAGGGACATTGCCGAGCTCGCAGACTTCCTTGAAATCTCGCAGTTGATGCCAGAGTTCTGCATGGCGCATCTCCTGGCCAACAACGATTTTACCATCTTCGTTGATGGGAGACACACATTTCTCGGAGTGATGGGCACACCAGTCTGATTAGGCTGTCTGGGTAGGTTTGCTTCTTCCTTTTTTTTCCTGTTGTTTGTATGTTTTTTTTTATACATTGCACCAGTTGATAAAAAAACAACAACTTAAGTTCTGATTTTTTATTATTGTTTGTTGCCATTGCTATTGCTGTTGTTGTTGCTGCCATTTTTAGTTGTTGTTGTTGTGTGTGACTGTGCAGCCGACAGGTTGGGGGGGGGGGGGGGGGGGGGGCAACGGAGTCAGTTTGTTACAGTTTTATGTATCCGTTGCACCTATGGCGACCCCATGGACCGCCTCTCGCCGAGGTCACTGCCTCCTTTGAGTAACGCGTGAATGGTGGGAGGCAGTCCCGTCACCCATCGTCCTCCCCGAATAATAATAAATAATTGTTATAGATCGTTTTCGGTGGCTGGGCACCCTTGTTGCTTGGTCGGTCCTGTTTTGCTGTGACCGTAATGTTGTTGTTGTTGTTGTTGTTGTGTGTTGTTGTTGTTGTTGTTGTTGTTGTTTGGTGTTGTGGTAAGTTGTTGTTGTTCTTCTTCTTGTGTGTGTGTGTGTGTGTGTGTGTCTTCTTCTTCTTCTTCTTCTTCTTCTTTTTCCTCTGCTGCTGCTGCTGCTACTGCTGTTGCATCTGCTGTAGCTTTTATACCGTTCCCCACTCCTCTTTCTCCCCCAACCCCGTCTCACGGTTCTGTAGCAGCCGGCACGATAAACTTGGCGACACGAGTATGCCTGTTTTGGTAACAGATTCCGTACATGTGTTATCTCCAGTCATTAAAAAAAAAGATCTTCTGAGTTAAGCTTTATACGAGATACATTTCACCTCTTTGTCATTTCTTTCTTCGTGGTTCTTTTTTTTTCTCAGGCAAAACTTCGATACCTGAAGCGAATCGAAGCGAAGGACAAACCCAACAGGCCAGTACAACAGTAACAACACTGCTACTGCTACACAGCTTCTTTACCATGGCATAAAAAGGAAGGGGTGGAACTTCTTTCCACATCGACGCTGTGGATAACATTCACTACTGCCAGAACATACTGCATAGAAATTTGTAAGCTACTCTGTGTGTGCTCACGACACAGCAAAGATGTCTTCTACGATCACCGATGTCTGGAGGTCAGTCTTTTGGCATGCAGTCCCGGTTGCAGTTGCCTGGCCCATCGGCCTCGTATGTGCCTTCGCCTTCGTAGTCATCTCACCGTTTTATGCAGTTTCACTCGCTGCGTGAAATCGTTGAAAACCCCCGTATTGGGATGGAGCTACCCTATAGAGTGGCGCGGCATTTAGCAAGAGACACGCCATTGGATCAGAGAACAAGTTAAAACGGGACTAAGCAAAAGTGAGCCATATCATGTTGAAGGATCTAAGCCATTATCAACATCCATATAATCTACTGGATCTAGTTCATCATGGTGAACAGAAGTGTACAATCCTTGCGGCTTTCTAGTGTAGTGTACGCAAGATTACTGCCCTGCGTGCGACAGCGAAGAAGTGGCGACCTTGCAATTCTCTCGGTCTCAGACACAATGTTTTTATCTGGCTCAAGATAGTGAAAAAATAGTGTACAATTCTGCCCTCAACTATGGAGACAAATGGCTGACTCTTGGAGAAGAAAAATAAGTGTGCAGTTTTGTAATCAATAATAAGCTATCATGGTGGACCGGTGAATCAGACAAATTATATTCAGCCCATGAAAGTGAAACTATAGCCTACAATTAAAGATGGAGTGATCTCGCATCACTGCTTCAACCATTCATTTGATTTTTGTTTCCCACACAAGTAAGGCAAATTTTAATAGGCGAGCGGCGTCAGCCCTTCACTTCAAACAAGGGATTGAATTACACGCAAAAACTTTATTCTTACGCGACTTAAAAAACAACAACAACATTCTAAAGCCCAAGTTCAACTATGAGGTTGTGCATGAAACCTTGAATGACCGAATACACATGCTGTATACATCATATGCAAAGGGCTATTTCAGATTTGAATTTGTGACTGCACTACGACCTAAAGGCGAAAGAAGATTTTTTTTTCTTTAATTTTTGTTTCTTTTTTTGGAATACAGGTAACTACCTCAGGAGCAGTATCTCTGTCAAAAAGGTGATGTAATTTGACGAAATAAAAGCTGAGCTATACGTTCAAAACAAAACTATCTGCGAGCAATGATAATATTCTTCATAAAATTATAATAAGTCATTAATCACTCACCCCCCCCTCCCCCTTTCGTCATTTTCCTCTTTACGTTACGGTACATAAAAAAAAATCCGCTCAAGCACTCCATGAAATGGGGGAAAAGGGGATGGGGGGAGAGTACTAACGGAACAAAGAAGAAGAAGAAGAAGAAGAAGAAGAAGAAGAAGAAGAAGAAGAAGAAGAAGAAGAAGAAGAAGAAGAAGAAGAAGAAGAAGAAGAAAAAGAAGAAGAACAACACCAACAACAACATCAACAACAACAACAACAACAACATACAGTACCGTATTGTTATCCGACAAGCCTGGCTTCGTACATCTACACGCACTCGAACAACTTTGGAATAATCATAATAATAGAATGGACGTGTCCTGGCCTGATGTCTTCTGGTAATACGGTAGTTAACCCCCCCTCCCAACCAAAAAAAGGGGGCATATAACGATGTCAGATATAATAATCATCATCATCCAGTGCCAGATCTGCGACGGACATCAGCGGTCATGGTTCTCCTTTTATTTTTATTCCTTTGCTCGGATGCTCTAAAAAAAAGCCACGTTTCCCTGATCTTTCCCTGTTACCCATTTGTTTAGGTTCCCCAAGTATGTTGTTCTGGGCCTTTCCCTGCATCGCTTGCCCTCAATTATGCCAGTGAGAGCTAGATGTTCAAGACCCTTATGTCTATTTATGTGTCCCAAAAACTGCATTTGTCGTTTCCTGATTGTTTTTAACATTGAGCGTCCCACGTGGGCTTCATCAAACACTACCTCATTTGACTTATTTTCCTTCCACGATACTCTTAGCAGTCTCTTAAGACTTAAGAAACCACATTTCCGTTGCTTCTATTTTATTTTCACTGTCTTTGGTGATTGTCCAGCATTCACAGCCATATAGAAGGGTAGACCAAACATAGCATTTCAGAACTCTAATTTTGGTGTTCATTGAGTTGAGATGTTTATATTTGTCAGGATTGGGCTCATTTTATTGAAACTAGCCTTAGCCATTGTAATTCTCCGTTTTATTTCTGTGGAACATTTGGCGTCAGATGTTATCATATATCGTAGATATTTAAACTGTTGGACTTGTTTGATCTTTTCACCTTTGCTAATGAGATTACAACAATGCTTTGCTGCTTTTTTGGATATTACCATGCATTCTGTTTTCTTTACATTCAACACTAATCCTTTACGTTCACTTTCTGTAACAACAGTATCTAGAAGCAATTTAAGTTCCTTTTCTGAGCCCGCTATCAAAACTGTGTCATCTGCATACCTGATGTTATTAATCTTTTCTCTATTTACTTTGAGACTTGGGCATTCTTCTATGTTTCTAAGGATTGTTTCACTGTACACGTTAAAGAGGTCTGGTGACATAACAGTAATAACACACCCTTGCCTCATTCCTCGCCTAATCTGCTTAATATATTCACCGTTTTCTCCATTAATTCGTACAGTGGCGTTTTGGTCCCCGTACAAATTCCTGATAATTCTTAGATCTTTTCCATCTATGTCTAGCTTTTCCAGTATTTTAAATAGCTCATCAAGTTTAACTTTATCGAACGCCTTTGAATAATCTATGAAGCATTTTATACAGATCTTTCTGTGCTTCAATACATCTTTTCATTAACATTGTTAAAGTGAATATAGCATTTCTGGTGCCCTTGCCAGGAACAAAGCCGAATTGCGTTTTATATATATCTCTCTGGCCGGTCTTACACTTTTTCTGAATCTTCCCATTATTACTCGCAGCAATATTTTTGTAAAATGACTCATAAGGCTAATTGTTCCATGCATATCACACTCAGTGGCACCTGGTGTTTTAGGTAAAGCTATAAAAACTGACTTGTATCTTCTGGGATCTCACCGCTGTCATAAATATCATTTAGGAGCTTTGTTGTTATTTCAGTGCCTAGTTTTTCAAGCGCGACAATTACTTCAACTGGAGTATTATTATCTGGCCCTGTGGCTTTTCCTTGTTTCATTTTCCTAATGGCAGCTTGTACTTCTGCTTTCAGTATTGGTGGTCTATTTATTTCATTCTTTATTACCGGTTTTTCTCCTCTATTATCTTTGAAAATTTCTTCTAGACTATATGTATTCTGACCATCTGTTTAAGAATACAGATTATAATAATATAATATGGGCATTTCACTTCAGAAATGGCTGAAATTATATATATCACAAATACATCATATAATGTAATATTTTGTTACACGGGCGTCTGTGGTGTAGTAGAGGTTAGATTCTTCGTCCTTGCAGTCAGATCTATTCCCAAGAGGAACATTTTGTTCTGTCAAGTACATGTATTTGTGTCTGTCTGATGGGATGTTGCACCAGAGAGTTTACAGTATTACTGTAAACCCTCTCTGGTTGCACACGATGTTTCCCACTCAATTCAGATTGTGTCAGATAGGCAGGGTCGAAGCAGCCCGCTTCTTTGATTTATCTGCAGACCCCCCCCCCCCCAGAAACAAAAAAACAAAAAAACAACCAACCAAAAAACAAAACAACTATATGTACAAACAATCAACATGAAGTGGCACTGGTTAATCAAATTTGACCCAGCGACCTACATATAGCCTACGTGAAACTACACTACTCAACGCATGAACCCCCCCCCCCCCCCCTTTCCGAATTGTTACGACCACTTTAAAATTATTTGCTCAATCGAGGGCGTTTTACGTGTGTTTACACAGCATAATGCATGGATATAATTATCAGTACTACTGCTGATGCCAGAAATAATAATAATATGGGCCATGGGCACTTCACCCCAGGAATGGCTGAAATGATATCATAACATACATCATTTAATGTAATAATATAATATTTCGTTACACCGGCGTCTGTGGTGTAGTAGAGGTTTTAAGGCTCTTCGCTTTTGCAGCCAGATCGATTCCCAAGAAGAGGAACATTTTGTTCTGTCGAGAACATGAATTTAACATGAATAGGATGTCTGTCTGATAGGATGTTACACACGATGTAACCCACTCACAGAATTCAGTGATCCCACTCAATTCAGGTTTTCCAGATAGACAGGCTCAAAGTCGAAGCAGCCCGCTTCTTTGATATTATCTAAATTGGGTCGATGGGGGTGTAAAACATTTTCCCAATTTACTCAGTTACAATTACCGATCTATCTCCAAAACACTGAGCCCAGATTGTCTCGGGTTGCTATTTATTATACATGATGTACCACCTTCCATCCACCGCACCTTAACTTTAACCCAAACCAATTAACAAAGCACATGTCATGTAGACTAGTCAACCAAGTAGATCATCAAGCGGGGTGGTCTCTATTTTTGTTTTTATAGATTTTCTTTACCGTAGTACAAGTAGATAAACACAATTTAGTCGCCAAAAGCAGCAAAATTATGATAACAAAGGTTCGATTCCTGGCGACGCTGGATTCAAAGCGTGTCACTGGGTAAAAAAAACTGTCGACGACACCCCCCCCCCCTTTCCCAGATGCGTGAATAGGAGGATAGCAGCACTTGGTAGGGATGAGTGTAAATTAAAACATGCTACAGACTTGCTACCGATCTACTAGAGATGACTCACTACCATCTGGACCATTTCACGTCATGAAAACTAACAACATAAACTCCGATCAACGAGATGATCCAGCCCATCTGGACCACTTCATGAAAACTCACGTATACTCAGTTTCTGTGAGCCTTTTGACACTAGGTTTCAAAGGAATACATGTACTACTACATGTACTACTACTATCATACTGTTAAAGCGCTTACCACTATCAGGTGGTGGGTGGTTGGTGGGTGCTCTTGTGTGGTTTGCTGCTGCTTCTCCTTTCCTTTCAAACATCTATCGTCCTTATCTCTGCCCTTCATCGTTTTATGTTTGTTACTCTCTTGTAACAGATCTAATCTTCTGGCGCTCATGACTCATATGACCTTATGCAGTTGCGAGCGCCGTAAAACCTCTACTAAAACTATCAGGTGGTACCCCCGTTCTCAACCTGCTCCAATCATTGTTGAGAACGCCTCTGTCTTCTTCTGATCCCTTTACATAAATGTTCATTAGTAATAGTTTTATGGCACTCGCAACACATACATTAGACTATGCTAAGTGCCGAAAACTAGAAGTGTTACGACAGAGTAATTTTAAAAAAGGGGAAAAAAAGGAGGAGAGATAAGGACGATAGACATAAAGAAGGAGTAAGGAGCAAACCACACTAGAGTGCCCTTTATAATCTGCTGCTCCCATGCTTATTATGTAGGCTATTATACCAAACCAGCACGGTAACGGTCACGTTTCGTCCTGATACTAACAGGCAAGAGTCTTACCATGTATACGAAGTAGTACCGCTGAAAAGAAGAAAAACAGCAGACCACACAGAAGCCTTAACCAATAAATAATCAGGGTGACGACGCAGCTTGACTTAAAAAAAGCTTGTACTTGTACCGTATCCTCCAAAACGTCTTCAATTTACTGGACCACTTCATGAAAACTCACATAAACTCAGTTTCTGTGAGCCTTTATGCCGTCCCAAGCCAACGAGAGCCCATACCGGTAATTATAAAAATTAATAATAATTTAAAAAATGAAAATGATAATGATAGATAAATAATAATTATTATATACTGATGATGATAATAATAATAATAATAAATTCTTAATCCTGACACTGTATCCCTCAACAAATTATGTTGTGAGAGAAAGTTTCAGATAGGGGGAGCTCAAAAGACAGAGAAAATGAGCTCCGCAAAGTATAATTAGAGATCTATTTATTTTTACTGGAATAATGCAGCATACTGATAAATTACATAATGTACTTAGTTTATCAAACCTATGGTAAACCCAAGTCTTTAGGTCATCTCAGTAACACTATAACATCAAAATCATATTTGTCGATTATCTTTGAGTCGTTTTTTTTTTTTTTTTTTGGGAAGCGTTTTATGACGCTCGCAACTGCATAAGGTCATATGAGCGCTTGGGACGCACCAAACATTTTCAGTTTGGTATTATTTGGTATTAATCTTTAAAACTTGTCAGGTTTGAACTCGGGACCTACAGAATAAGAAATGAATACCTTTACCTCTATGCCGAGAGAGCCAATGTGCACGTTATCTTTATTTAACATTTTACAACAACAAAAAGAAGACAAAACTGGTTAAAATAGTCAGATCCCTTAGTTTATTTCAAACATGATGTAATTTTCTGTAGTCCAAATCAAATCGGAACAAGCTTGTATTGTGTCTTCATGAAACTTATTACTTACGAATGGGCAAAGTAGGCATAGTAAAAAAGATACACATGGTAGGCAGAGGAGGGAAACTTCGGAGAAAAAATATCCCACTGAATAATTGAGAAAAAACTGGTGAACCATTGAAATACTCTGACATTATGCAGGCGGATTAAATCAGCCGTTCAGTGATTGGTTAGCAAAAATAACTATCCATCCGTTTGTCATAGATCTTATGACTATCACAATGAAATCATGTGAATACATGTGATGACTTCACTTCTATGTGAGAGATCATTTGAATAAATCTCCAATTTATAGTAATAGTAAAACATTATCATTAAGTCTTATGGTTTTAAAAAACTCCGCTTAAGGAAAAAACCTTTGTCTATTCATCTTAAAAAGCATATTATATTTACTCAGTAAAGGACCAACCTAGGGATTGGAATGTAGCATTTATGTATTATACATTTTTTTAAACCAAAAGGGAAAGTAAAATAAGCAATGTGTATAGCGGTATACAATAGCACTCAAGCATCAAATGGGTAAATGATAACCTCAAATGATGACCATCAAATGGGTCTCAAGGTTAAAAAAAAACTCTGTTTAGGGAAAAAAACCTTTGTCTATTCATCTTAAAAAGCATATTATATTTACTCAGTAAAGGATCAACCTAGGGATTGGAATGAAGCATTATAATGTATTATACATTTTTTTTAACCAAAAGGGAAAGTAAAATAAGCAATGCGTATAGCGGTATACAATAGCACTCAAGCATCAAATGGGTAAATGATGACCTCAAATGATGACCATCAAATGGGTAAAAGATGACAAAGGGATGGTAATGGTAAAGAGTCACTAACATAAAAAAGCGAGAAAATCACTGGAAACAGAAAAGATTTTCACTAGATCTTTCAAGTGAAAGATACAAATCTTTAACTACTCAGATTAAAATTCACGAGCAGCAGACTAGAAATTTAAGTCAATTAAACCCTTTTCAAAGAGCGAAATAGGTTTTATGTATCATGTGAGCCTTCATGAATGTAGATATTCTAAATATTAATGCTGCCATCGACATTTAATAATTCAAATAATTTAGGAGACAGGTGGTATCAAACTGCCATTTAGAGAAAACCAGGGCTGAATGGGATAGGCCTACAGTATACAGGACCCCAGAAGAGAGATGGAGATACTTGATGAAACAAAATTTCCCCATGCAGGAACTGAACCCTCATCATAGGCGGGCAATGACAAAGGGCATAACCATTACACCACAGGCACCAGTCAGAGTCAATGGTAATCGAATCGTATAGTATAGAGAGAGTTATTAATACATGGCAGCATTCCATTTTAGAATGTCTGACAATAAATCTAATAGAGAAAGCAAATCTGAAAGCACTTTAAAGGTAATCTGCATTAGGCATCCACACAGAACACTGTGTCAAAGACATGAATTGCTTTATAAGATTAGAACAAGGGTCAAGTTCATTACTTTTCTTCTATCTCAAAGGAGAACATCATAATAGCAATACAGTAGTCTCCACCTAAGATCCCGGTGCTTGGGAGTAAGGAAATGCGGGATCTTAGGCGAACTGGGATCTTAACCGACGAACCCAGGGAAAAATCTATGGTGACCCATGTTAAGGTTCACAATCGGTAAAATGGTCTCCCTCCACTCTAAAATGAACTGACGTGACCCCTTGGTGGGTTTATGGCATATGGCGAGTAAAAGAGTGGTTAACCTTGATGACCTATCACAGTGCATAGTGGCATGAGGTGTGCCATTTTCACTTATTATCCTATCATTAGTATCATGAGTCTCAACATCTACGCTTATCCAGTTGCCCCTCCCCTTTACCTGTCGAAAAACTATAGCTTCCCATCTCTGACCGATTCTCTCCCCCCCAACAAAAAACCTTTGTCGTTACACACCATTATGTTGTGAAATCAAAATTCAGTCTGTCTCGCAAATTTGGGAGTAGAGACAACTGCAGCAATGGTCAAGGAATAGTTCACAGTTCGATGTGATCCTGCCTGGAGCGAACGTGTAGGCCCTTCCCACCCAGCGAGTGATGTATGATTAGGGGGAGAGCTTAGGTGTGAGTGCGATGCGTGGGGAAAACAAACGTGTCAGTCAGTTCACACCCCGGTGTGATCCCGTCTGGGGCAAACATTGCATGGCTTCATAGAGTTTTACAACATGTATGTGATCACATTCACGATAGTGGCTGATCTTTGACGCGATGGACAGTTTATTGATCTCAACTTTTCACTCTTGGTCGATCGGCTGTGCCCGCCCGGGTTTTTGTTCCGCAAATTATGATCTGAAATGCGGGATCTTAGCCGAATGTAGGCCTTCAGAGTGAATCAGAGCGGTATCTTAGGGGTGACTTTTGGAGAGTAAAAATTCTGTTTTCTTAAAACAGCGAGATCTTAGGCGAACTGGGATCGTAAGCGGTGGGATCTTAGTCTTAGGCGGAGACTACTGTAATACATTGTATAAGATGTAATGGTATTTTCATTAGATCACAGAACAAAACAACAAACAAAAAAGTGTAATGTTATACTTATTATATACACAAATTTGACAACTACATATGAAAGTGTAAAAAAATACAAGATGAACACAGTCACTGGCGAGCATTTTAAGTTAACATAGAAAATGACATGTAGGAGAAAAACATAACAAATAAAAATTGGCACAAAAAAACAACAACCTCTGAACATACAGCTCTGCAATCAGCCCATGTCCAAATGTAAGAACATGTGTCACTGATGGCAGGTGAACCTCAACTTAGGTTAGACTTTAAATTCACCCCCAAAATCTATAGAACTAATGGAATATTGAAAAACCTTTCACTTACCTAATTTGCATTAGCTACAATCTTTTTCATATGGTTCAGTATATTATCATGGTATATTATATAAACTCTCTTCTACCTGTATCATAAAAAAAAGCACAGAAAAAAAACAACTCCAATCTAATCATACACAATAAAATTAGAAATCTTTTAAGCTGTCATTCAGTTATATTGAAGAAAAGAACGGTAACAATTACTAACAATATCACTTTAAGTCTAAGCAAATTGTACAACACAAAATTTGAAATCTTTCTCACCCACACCCTAGCATATATTTTATCAAATACGACAAGTATTTTCAAAACACTTCTTTGGATTTCAGCAAAAAATACAAATTATTGTATTATTATTAACATTTTGAAAGTAAACAAAATGGTGAAGCTTAAAACGATAGCACCATAACAACTTGTTGAACCGACGAAAGTTAAAGAAATGGGTATGAGTGTGACAGTTTAGGACATCAAATTTTTCAAACGCCTTTTTAGAATTAAATTAATTATTTTAACAAGATTGAACTCAAGAGTGTAGTTACTTTTGGTGAAGCTACAAGTTTGTAAAAAATACTGACAGAATAAAATTAAATGATGCCTTCTGACAAAAAATTTCCTCCACTTTCTTTCACAGTGAGGATTACCGACTTAATATGCTGAGGTCAGTATTATATAAGAACTACAAACATCTCCTGCAGTTATCCTTCCCCACAAACTAAATCTATGTTTAAAATACACTCACAGTATAAAAAAATGAACGCCTTTGCTACCAGATCAGCATCAACAAAAGAGAAAACAGCAAAGTCACATATAACATACTGATTAGCAGTTGAGTAGGTGTACACTGGTTACCAACATACCAGGATAATGGCACAGGCACTTGAATCATGAACAATCAAAGCAAAGCTCCCAACACTCTACACTCACAAAAGCATAAGTCTTGAAATTATAATATACATATACACAAACAACACAGGGTACAAAATTATATTTTCAGGCGTTCTGATTCATAGTATAAAAAAAATAAAAATTAATGACAATAGAAATTCTTGCTCTTTGAAAGAGCAAATTGCTCATTTGGGTTCAGTACTAGTACTAGTCAGCAGGAAGGTGTCAATCTTGTTTAGTTTTATTAAGAGTTTTACGACACTTGCACAACACAATAAGGTCATATAAGTGCCGAAAATAAGAATTGTTAAAAGAGAGTAACAAACAAATAAAAGGAGAGATCAGGACAGTAATGAATGCTGTTGTTTTGAAATGTTAAAATGGGAATTAACTATGTTGCGAATGTAGAAATAACGATTCTTTGATATCACAATTATTTCCTCTTTTTGACACGTCACGTCTTGTCTCGTTTTGAATACGCATGAGATCTCATTGTAAAAGAAGAAGAATAAATCAGTTTTCCGGCTGGTAGGCGAGCAAAGAGGTTGTGTTGGTTCGTCCCCTTTACAAGTTTTAATCTTATATAATGTGAAGCAATATGCAGCCGTCACAAGGACGATACATGTTTGCTAGGAAAGAAGGAGCAAACCACACCACAGCACCCGCAAACCACCTGCTGACAATCTTGTCGTTGGGTTCATTAAGGGATCAGCAGCTGAATTGGGCATTTAGTTTTAGTAAGAGTTTCACTGCAGTTGCAACATAATAAGGTCATATAAGTGCCGAAGATTAGAGGTGTTACAAGAGAGTAACAAACACAAAAAAGAAGAAGCAAAGATAAGGATGATAGATGTTTGATAGGAAAGAAGAAGCAAACCACACCAGAGCATCCGCCAACTACCCACTGAATAGGGTGTGAGCATGCAAAAGCAACCCAATGAACATTCATTTCTGGTACACACACATGCTACGTACATTACTGAAAATACCCCTGATTCAACATCTCAGTCAAGTAGGTGGGGACCAGCTCACAATGAAACTTATGCCTTCGTAAGGAACTTACTTTTGCTTTTATACACATATAAAATAAAATAACACTGGTTTACAAAAGCAATAAAATTGGTGTAAACTTTGGAAGCAGTATTTAAAAAAAATAAGTAACATTGCAAAGAAAACAAAATAAATGAATGAATCAAGAGTAACCAAATCGACTGAAACAAAACAATGGTGACACTGACAATAACCATTTTGTCTCAGGAACAATTGAAATTTCTTCAGGAACTGGAGCATGGTTTAGAAAGCCTTGTCTTTATCTATTGATAAACAAAAAGTAACAGAATAATAAAGAATTCTTACAAAAATCCCTTCGAGAACCAGTAACAATAAAAAGTTTAAATTTCATTTAGTTTTTTTTATTATATATCAAAAGCATATAAAATCAATTATGCTTTAGGCACCATATGAAAAAAAAAGAGACAAAATTTGAGAACAATGCAAAGATCTCCGGCAATATACATCCTGGAAAACTTATAACATCTGCAACCAACAACAGGTTGAAAAAAATTGTTACAAAGAACAATTAAAACACACATATATAATATGATTTATATAATGTCTCCTATTCGCAAAGACAAAGATATAAAGCGCAAATACCATTTGACTGAAAGTAGTTAAAATGAGTGGTTCCCCGTCAAAGTTTAGCGCTTTCTTTTTTTTCAAGTGCCTGAGATGAATGGAATTACACTTGCGTAGAAAATTTCAATCCACTCCCAAGACGTTGTTTCAATGGTATTGAACCCCAAACCTCCTTCCCATCCTTGAGCTAGTTTCAGTTTCATAGTCTGGTAAAAGTTTTACGCTGCTTGTAACTGCATATGGTCAAATGGTTGTTTTCAAATTTCAGAAAAGGTAAACCTAAACAAAAGGAAAAAGAAAGAATTTAAGAAGAAGACACCCATCCTCCTCAGACCCAAACAACTCTTTGAGAAAAAGAAAGAATTTAAGAAGAAGACACCCATCCTCCTCAGACCCAAACAACTCTTTGAGAAAAAATAATTATTTCAAACAGAAAGAAGAAAATAGCCACTTGATTTTTCAGTTTCAAATAACATTTTTAAAAGACTGAATTTTCACTTTTAAAGTTCTTGGAATAAATTGAAACTTTCATTGGACTAAAAATGTACAAAGGAACAGGCTTATGAACATTTCTTTGCTGTTTACAAAACACAAATCTTTCTTTTTAAAAGTAGTTCACATTCACTAAATCCTAAAAAGTAACACAAAATCTATACACTGCATTCTGGACACACACAAAAAAGTATGAAGAGATAGTGAATCTTTAAAAAACCCCAACTAAACAATGGTAGAGGTTTATAAATGCTATAACTAGGTGACAGTCTCTCAGACACCACCTGATCTTTTGCATTATTATGAGAAAAGTGACATGTATGAAAACATTTTCCTTTTCTTTAACGTTAACAGCTTGCAGGTACAATATAGACATATTCATATATGTATATTGTTTCTGAGCAAAAAACCAAAGGTCTGTGGCAATAACATAGTAGAGACTGCTCCTGAGCTGTAGTCAAATAGCATTCATATGTGATGACTGAGAGATCAAAACAAAATGCAGGGGGATTTCTTTATGATGAACTCAATGACACTAGTGTGGTGACTCTATGAGACACAGTTCTTGACTTGGTAGAATTTTGACTCAGCAGGTTCCAGATGCCAAAGGTCTTTATTTTGACAATATGACTAATCACCCAGCTGAGATCCAGTTCTACATCTCCTATGGTATTACCCTTTAATTAAGGGAGTATAAGTAAAAAATAAGTTAGATATCATGTGTATGTATGAAAGTGGAATGTGGTCTAATATATAGCTATGCTTCCTGACTCATGTTGTTTGTGACTACATTACTAGCACTAAAGAAAGAACAAAAGTGTTAAGCACAAGCAGTATTTTATGTTCCCACAACACATGTTACACTCACAGTTAAAAACTCTGCAGGGGTATCAAATAATAGAATATATAAGTAAACGTTAAAAAAAAAAGTTTTGTCTTATCTAAACTAAATAATACTTGATTTAAAAAATGTCGCTCCAATGCCATCCACTATTTTTCGGTTAGGATATGAATTTTAAGGCACAATGAAAGTTTGTGATTTTTTTTTTTTTGCATTACCAGAACGCATGTGTGGTGAAATTACTTTTGATACATGGATAAAAAAAAACCCTTAACAGTTAAAAAAGTTAATTTCAATATCAGCTCAGTCTTCAAGTTGAATTCAGCTTAGAAATAATTAAAGTTAAACATTATTTGAGTAAACTTGCCTGATGTTTTTCACCAGCACAGTCTCAATGAGTTTGAATTATATAAGTAGCATTCCCAACAGGTTGATACTCCTGTACTTTGTAAGACACTTTTCTACAAGGTAAAAAAAAATTATGGCAAAATCAACCTTTAGTTTGCAGAGTCACCCATCCCTCCATACAGGTATGATTAGAATTTTTCAGAAGAATATCATTGTAAATTCGTTAAAGCACCGCTTTGACTTCGTCACCCTTTGAGGAACACAGCGTTCTAAATTAATATGAATACAAGAAAATGTATTAAAGATCAAATTGAAAAAATCATGTCGTTGATTCTAAGAAAAGATCCACAGTGTTAATAAGAAAAGTAACTAAAAGAACGCTAAAAGGCTATATATGTGTCTTTCTCACATGGGCTCACTTCACATTACAGGCACACGTGTAGTACATTCTACATATCTGGCGAGTTTCAACTGAGGAAAATCATTGCTGGTTATAAATGGTTGAAACATAAACATGGACATAGCAGCTCAGTCAAAGACACAAAAGCATTCATACATATTGGAAAGAAGAAATGGAGGGGTTTAAGAAAATATGATTACCCTAAAGAAGATATGACTTAACGTAAATGCAATTTTTACCTCATCCTAAATTAAACAGGCTACACATAAATTATAATGAAAACACCTGCTGTTGTTTAACACATAGACTTTCCTGACACCATGTTCTGGGCACATGTCAGCGGTAATTTGACACCCCGTTCTAACAGATTTATAAGTTCATTACAACCTGCACAACAGGCTGAGCAAGGGCTCAGAATAACAAAGAAAATAGCACACAGAAATCCTATAGGCCAGCCAAAGATAATGAGAATGATGAACCAAATGATGCTCCATAGCCATCCACAGTTTGCCATTGTAATAAGTCTGAAGAGTAAAGCGCTGATGTCCTTGATGAACGAAGCTCCGTCACAGGGATCTCTGTAAACCAAAATGAAAAATACAATTACAGTCAAATTAAATAAACCAGAACACTCTCTCATTTTAGAATCATGGGCTGTCCAAATACAGTGAAACTTGGAAATAACAAAGGTGTCAGGCCTTACTTTCGGTTTTGTTGAATCCGGGTTTTTGTTATAGCATTGTGAGCAACAAGTTGTGTCACAATGTAGGGCTTTACATTGGCAATTTCTGTTTCCATAGACCAGCGCATAATTCATTGCGTAGATTTGCATTTATGTCTAGATTAGCCTTTCATTGTCCAATAGCCGGGGAGAGAGGATGGACATGTTTGTGATGAGTCTGTTTCTCTGCCGATTTTCCAAGCCCGAAATGCTTGCTTGTGCCTACCCCCCCCCCCCTCCACCCCAATCTCCTCAGACACACGCACTAACAGCCACCTGACCTGCCTCTCTTGACCCTGGCACACACTAAGACACGTCATGTCTTACATGCCTGTCAACAACACAAGTGTTGGAGTGATAGAAGGCTTCTGATTGGAAGTATAAGATGTACGCAATAGCTTAAGCAAAGTGTGCAATGATCCACGGTGCAAGTGCGATCAATGGTCTCTTGGAATAGAGTAGAGATAATGTTCGTTGCCACTTCATTGAATACGAGTTTGCTCATTTATGTGTTCATTCAATGCGGGTTATTTTGCGATTTTAATAAATTAAAAACATGGAGAATCTGTCTCCTTTTGTTGGTTGAATCCGAGTTCCACTGTAGTCTTCTCAGTTCAGAAATTTTGTTGTCTCTCTCTATATTAAGTACATATTGTAGGCGCACTGTTGGCACTTCATTAACTCAAATTTTAAAATTTTACAGGTGAGACAAAAAACCTGTCAAACATTGCCAATTTTAACACTCAGGCAATCAAATCCTGTCAATAAAATTCATTGTGATTGGACAAAATCCTGCAAAGAAGTGTGCATTTTACCGAAGCACTTTATTAAGCAATCTGAGTTAGTGAAAAACATCCTTTGGATAGTGAATTTCTCCATTTTCAGAGCTGCTCCGTTGAACCTCGGTAAAGTGATATTGAAGTTAAAACAACTTAAAATGCGGTTTTCAGTTGCTTCGGACTAATCTCACTATCTTTGACTTACCTTAAATTCACATGTTTAACACGCTCTGGGTTGTTTAATTGTGTCCTGATGGCTGGCTAGTGAGCTATTATACATTTTGAGTGTAAATTTCTTTTGTTCCTGAACACATCAAGTGAGATTGATAAAGTAAGGGATCATGTGGAGGACGAAAGAAAGGTTCACTGACTTGTGGCGATCAACTGGTGCTCTGATGGCACCTCGCCATATTGTGTTAGTGAGTTTCAATGGATCACTTATGACTTATATGTCACTGTGGTGGATAGCGAGGTTTGAGCAGAATTTGAAATTGTGCGTTTTCGAGCATTCATAGTTGGAATTTTCATTTAATATTAATCACTTTGAGTATCAAAGTATCACAAACCTTTGTCAAAATTCAACTTGGTGAGCTTTTATCACAGCACTCACGATTTTAAAACTAGTTTCTTTACATTAGTTGGTGTTATGATTGTAAACAAAATGAAAAATCAAACGACCCACATCTACTAAGGAGAATAAATTTTCCTGCAATGAGAATTATGATCAAATAAGTAAATGTGGTATCAAAGAACTACAAAAGCCTCTGGGTACATTTAATGTCAGGTGTTCATTGGCAGGATCAAAACAGGTCAGGTCGATTAATGGCAGTTTCAGTGCACACTACGAATAAACTCATGTCCTGCTTCATCAAATTTGACCAAGAAGTTACAGCAGAGAAAACTTCGACCTCTGGTGACCATGCAATTTGGCACACAGAATTACATCCTACACGTAATACTACACTGCATTGTTGTACACATAGACAAAACTTACTGTTTACAACGTTGTCATTTCCTTCAAAATTATCATAGTGGCTTCAAGTGCTGATATAGCGCTGGCTCATATTGCGGGGTTGCTGTGCTAAGAGTTTCTTCAATCCTACAGATATGAGAAATTTTGATAGCTTTCTATCAGCCTCTCCAAATCAACACCATCCAAACTGCATTCAAAAGATTTGACACGTACTTTGTGGCTCGTAGTCATAGGTTACAAGCCTTGTGATTTGCTGTTACTCAACGGATTTAACATGTACCAATTGTGTCCTTAAAAAACAAACATGTTCAACTCTGAAGATCGTCCTAGAATAGTGCTAAAATGGTAGCTTTTGCCCTATATAAAAAGGAATAATCTGACCAGCCCCGACTGTATCAAATGGGTAAAGTGCACTGGGTATGACTAATCTTTCTTACCAAGGCAGAGACATGGAAATTAATTTTTACGAGGGCTGGAACTAATGTGATAAGATTTTTGAGAGAAAGTCATCACAAAAGAAAAAAAAGACTACATGCAATCTGCAAATGTTTTGATATTAGAAGGTGTATCATATACCATGGTATATTATATACACACACTTTCAGTACTTTCACTTGTAAACCAACACTAACTAACCCTTCCTGTAAGTCCAACAAAGCTGAGTGGACGGGCATATCTATAATTAAAAGCCTCAAGTCTCAAGATTTATTATTCTGTACAATCTACACAGGAATTTTAACTCTTCATTTGTGTACATATACAAAGCATAGCCATAGAGCCTGACCATTGGAATTCAAACACTTAAACGTTGACAGCTGAAAGGGGGGGGGGGGGGGGGTTGATACATAGATAGTAAGAGAGAGAGAGAGAGAGAGAGAGAGAGAGAGAGAGAGAGAGAGAGAGAGAGAGAGAGAGAGAGAGAGAGAGAGAGAGAGAGAGAGAGAGAGTGAGAGAGAGAGAGAGAGAGAGAGAGAGAGAGAGAGAGAGAGAGAGAGAGAGAGAGAGAGAGAGAGAGAGAGAGAGAGAGAGAGAGAGAGAGAAGGAAAGGGGAGGAATTCTGCAAAAGCTACCATTTGAAATAGATAGAGGGTTAGGGTTTAACTCACTTGCGACTGGGCCCTTTCACTAGTCACATGCGTTGAAGACTGGCGTTTTTGGGGGTATTTCAATAAATCACCACAACTATCAGAATTACCCTATTGTAATTATTTTTTGACACAGTAAAGTAACATTCAAGCATAATCTAATACAAAAAACTAAAGTTGTGTAAGTCTAATACTTTAATTTGTATGATTTAAAAAAAATTGGCATGAATTTGATTTTCCTTAAAATTTCCAGAGACGTGACAAGTAGAATGAAATTCACTACAACAACAAAAATAAAAGTTCAAAGTGTTCTGGTTTGATTTGTATACATGTGCGAGTATTTGGTGAAAATATAAAAGCTGGTCTGTGCATTGATTCAGACCCATACACTGAATTACATGAGACAGATGTATGGCACGACGTTGTGATTTCGTTGCGCGAAAAACAACACCGGTACTAGATCTAGTGCTAGATCTTCTAGCCCTAGAACTACGACTCGGGCCGTGTTCGGGTACATATCCAGGATCCTAACTATTAGACACATCATATTCTGAGACACTAGAACTAGTAAAACGTACAGAAGTATAGAAAACGGCGAAATTATGTGATTCTTGTTCATGCGACTTCTTCGACCGTAACTACGACGCGACTGTCGGATTACTATCAGCTGTATAGAAAAAAACAAAGCGCGAGTTCCGGTCTGTTCAACCCCAGTTGGGGTCACTGTCCTTCACCTTCAATAACTTAAAAACTATCGGCCCCAGAGTTACGAAACGAAGTCTAAGTAGCTCAGGCTTGGCCAAACAAGGGTACGAGGCGGGTCTCGCGATCCGTGCGTGATTTGTAGAGCGAAAAAAAAATTCAAAAGTTGGTCACGCAGGGCTTGTGAGACCCGTCGCGAGCGTCGCGGCGGGGGTTACGCAACTGTTGTGTGAACCGTCTGAAGTGAGTTAAAATGCTTGGGTGAGGGTTTTTTGTTTGTTTTTTTGATAAGTGCTTTATGGCGCTCGCAACTGCATAAGGTCATATGAGCACGCGGGACACACCAAACATTTTCAGTTGGTAGGAAATTTTTAATTTTGCCTCAGTGGCGGCCGATGCCTACTCTTATCGATTTTGGACCACCAAGGGATATAATTTAACGTGCGCAACTTGCACATGGTACCTCCGAAACTTTTCATCCTTGTCCGAGAAGCAGGGATGCCACTCAACTTTTTTTTAAATAGCTGAAAATCCACGTGCCACGGTCTCGCAAACATATCATGAATATCAATTTGAAACCCAAAGGGTGTACATAGAGAGAAATGACAAACAAACATTATAATTTAAAGCACTCCACGTTATTTGAACTTATGGCAAAGTCTTTGTTTTTCCGTTATTTGAACATTTGGCACAAGTTGTTGGGTGGGTCTTTTTTTTTTTCAACTATAGATTCTATCTTGATCTCAATAACGGAATAGCGGATCAGGATCAAAATACAGGAAATATCGGAAAAAAGCGGAAAAGTGGCATCCCTGGAGAAGGTAGCTCTTTCCTACCAGAAGATGTGGCTGAAAGACAGCAGTAAGAAGGAGTCAAGGAGAGTAGCAATAGAAAGGCTGCAGAAAGATTCAGGAGCCTAGAGGAGGGGGCAAAGGAGGTGATGGGGTGGGGGCAGAAAGTGGAGAAGAAAGAAGACAACAGAACATTGTTAGAGAGCAGGAGAAAGGAGGTGAAAGGAGACAATTTTAGAGAAGAAAATTTTTTCGTCGCCACCCAGATTCGAACCCGGGACATTTGGATGAGAGGCGAACAACTTAACGTGAAGGCAACGAGAGTCCTTGGTTGAGATTTGGATTTGGTTCTAGGTAGGACTAGGAAGTTAAAAGGGCCAGGGAAAAAAAGGTAAGTAAGTCCCTTCTTATAACTTTATTATTTCATTGTGGTTAGTTGGTCAGGTGGTCTCATTACTGAAGTCCTTCCCAATGAATTATTTAAAGAGAGATAGATATGAGAGGGAGGGAGAGAGAGAAAGAGAGAGAGAGAAAGAGAGAGAGAGAGAGAGAGAGAGAGAGAGAGAGAGAGAGAGAGAGAGAGAGAGAGACTTGTCAGAGAGTGAGTAGTAGTGGAGAGAGATGAGAGAGAGAGAGACAGACAGAGAGAAAGAGAGAGAGAGACAGTGAAAGAGATGAGTGAAAGAGAGGGAGAGAGATGAGTGAAAGAGAGAGAGATGAGTGAAAGAGAGAGAGAGATAGTGAAAGACTAGAAAGAGTGAGAGAGAGAGAGAGAGAGAGAGAGAGAGAGAGAGAGAGAGAGAGAGAGAGAGAGAGAGAGAGAGAGAATGTGTATGAGGCAGTCACTGCTTGCATTGTAGTTGTAGTAATATAATATGCATACCAGTCCCAAAAGTCGCTATTACTTGTGAATCGACAAAGATGCAGAAGGTGAATTTCACACTGAATTTATGCCTGGCTGTGAAGATGTTGGTTGACACGGAAGCGGAGAGCGATACTCTCGTTTGAAAAAGGTTTAAAAAGTGCACCACAAAAACAATATTAGTGTTTTCCCTCAAATCGCACCAAAAATAATAGAGCCCCTTTCTTAACATAATTTTTATTTTCCTTTTCATTTCTCCAATAGAAAAAAAATGAAATAGATCATCATTACTTTTATTGCTAGCTTACTTTGTCGGTGATCCTTTTCCCCACAAAGTGTCACTTGTTTGGCGAGGGAACATAAAGATTCTCAAGCACAGCGAGAGCTGTTTCGGCTTCACATAGTGAAGACGCACAGCTTACTCCTTCTGTAAAGGACACTATTAATTTCTTGAAAGAGAGAGAGAGAGAGAGAGAGAGAGAGAGAGAGAGAGAGAGAGTTTTAGTTTTAGTAGGAGTTTTACTGCACGTACAACACAATAAGGTCATATAAATGCCGAAGATTAGAGGTTAGTTATAGTTTTAGTAGAGGTTTTACGGCAGTCGCAACTGCATAAGGTCATATGAGCGCCAGAAGATTAGAGGTGTTACAGAGAGTAACAAATATAAAAAAGAAGAAGGGGAAACGATAACGACGATAGATGTTTCATAGGAAAGAAGAAGCAATCCACACCAGAACACCCACCAACCACCCATAAGATTAGAGGTGTTACAAAAAAGTAACAAACTTAAAAAAGAAGGAGGAGAGATAAAATAAAGACCATAGTTGTTTGATAGCAAAGGGAGCAAACCACAGCAGAGCACCAGCAAGCCACCCACAGAGAGAAAAA